TCAACAGGTGACATCGTACCAGTACCTAGGTGTTCATATAACATCTGACCTCTCCTGGCGAACTCACATTAATTTTATTGCTAACAACGCTAATCGCTAGGTTACTTGCGTCGCAACTTCTCAAGGGCTCTTTCATCATTAAAACTACAACTGTACAAGACCCTATTTAGATCCGAGCTTGAGTATTTAAGTTTGATGTGGGACCCAGGCCATGACTTTTGTATTGACCAAATCGAATTCATACAGAATCGTGGGGCACGTTTTATTTTTTCTAATTTCTCACGTTTCTTCAGTGTATCATCCATGAAACAAACTTTACATCTTCCGAATTTTAATTGCGTAGAAAATTATCTCGTTTGTCCTTATTTCACAAAATTTATCATCGCATCCAGCATCTAAGTGAAGGGCTTTTTTTATGAACCATCATATCTGTCCCATCGAAATGATCATCACCATAAAGTCAACGTGCCTTTCAGACGCACAAAGCACTTTTTTTATTCTTCTATCCGAAGGACTAGTAATGAATGGAACCGCCTGCCCACCTTCATGGCCATAATCACAGACGCTCCTGCATTCAAGTCTACCATTGCAAACTATTATGCAAACGATTACGCCCGGGTGTCGGGCATCGCTAAACAACACCCAGACTCCTGCTTTTTGCTAAATAAAGTGTTGAATTCGGCTTTCCTGCCCTTATTGTCCCAAAACGACCTTAGGTCAATTATTTTTAGCCTTAAGCCTAACAAGGCTCCGGGCATTGATGGCATCTCAATTAGTGAGTTACGCAGACATTTTGACGTACTTAGGCATGTGCTCCTTTCGCTTTTGAACAACGTTATTTTAACTGGAATCATTCCGGTACAAATGAAAACTGCGGTGGTTACTCCGCTGTTTAAGGGGGGTGCGCGTAAAAACATAGAAAATTACCCACCTATTTCAATTTTGCCTTGTATTAGTAATGTGTTGGAGAAACATTTGTACATTTCTATGGAAAGTTTTTTAGACAAGCACAGTGTTCTTTCACCTCATCAGTACGGTTTCATTCAAGATCGAGGGACACAGACGCTTCTAAAGGATTTTTCTGATATACTGAATTTAACTTTTGAACGGAATCAGGTTGCTTGCGCACTGTTCTTGGACGTCAGCGAAGCATTTGACAGCGTATGCCATCGACTTTTGCTAATGAAACTTTCTAAATTAGGATTTCGTGGCTCCTTTTTAGTACTCCTAGAAAACTTCCTAAGCGATCGACGACAGTGTGTTTCAATTGGGCGTTTTCAGAGCACATTTTCGTCAATCAAAGCTGGTGTACCGCAGGGGTCAGCTTTGAGCCCATTACTGTACAATATTTATGTTAATGACCTCCACAACGCTGTGCCAGTTTCATTATTTCAATATGCTGACGATACGGTTATTTTATCCAGAGCTACCAATTATGTAGATGCGATCTCTTCTCTGGAGGCTGCTGCGAATAAAACTATGGACTGGTTTGCAGCTAATTTAATTATTGTTAATGCTTTGAAAACGCAGCTCATTTGTTTTCATAACCCCTTAAAAAAAGTTCGACCCACCTATCCTTTACTGTTACATGCGTCCAATTGTTTATCGTGTGCTTGTGAGCCGGTAAAATATACATCAACTGTGAAGTATCTTGGTATTTTTTTCGACGGTGATCTTTCCTGGAACTCCCACCTTGCTTATATTTGTAAGAAGATTCGTTCAGTGTCTTGTCTGATGTACAAACTTCGATACTATATGCCGTTATCAGTCCGAAAAGTTATTATACATGCTCCGGGCTACAGTGTACTTCGTTATGGCATATCTGTGTACGGTCATTGTGCCCAACGTTGGCAAACCAGAATTAACACAATACTACGTTCTATGTTACACAACATTTCCTATGACTTAGGCCTCGATAAAAACATTGATGTGTTCGCGACTCTATCTATGCCAAATTTTAACTCATTATTCATTGAAACTGTCGTGCATACACATTTCTGGGATAGCAGTTTTAAGACTCCCTACGTCCCTGCCCGTAATCTCAGACCGAAATAGCGATATTGGACACCTCGGAGTTCTACAAGATATGGTAAAAGAACCCGATTGTATTATGTTCCAGCATGCTTTAATAAACTCCCGTCGTGTGTTATTGATGCCACAACAAAGTAAAAACTGAAGAAAGCGCTGAGAAACATTACTGTATAACCTCCCCCCCCCCCCACACACACACACTTTTTGTTGTTTTTTGGTTTCAGTTTTGATTTCGTTTTGTTTTTTTATTTTTTATGTACTCTATCTGTGTGTGTTTTGTTTGCCGGCTGCCAGGCGCTGCCAGACAAGCCCAATGAGGCTTTGGCAGGTCTGTATTTGTTTGTGTACTTTACATGCAACAAAAATTATTATTATTATTACTATTATTATTATTATAACTAATGTGTTGAATTCTATTTTTGTACTCTTGTTTTTCCCCACTCCCTTTTGTAACGCCGTGTGGCATTGAAGGTTATAAAATAAATAAATAAGTATTCTTTCATCGCCCCCTGCTATTCTCGACCACGGCGGTCCTTTCCCGTGCTCCTCAGAAAAACAAGACCCACCAGCACTCAAGCCCGCTGAGCCGTTAGCACGCCGAGAGGAAATGCAAGCCCTCCGCAATAACGACCCGCAACCTGTGTCAGAAGGTACCCAGCTACTCCCGCTGGGATAGGGTCTACCTCAGAAGGCTAGGCACAGGGACCGCCATGGTTCCAAAAAGAACGGCTAAGAGAGCTCCAAGAAAGAAAGAGCGGCCCGGGTAACTGAATTCAGGCAAGGCAGCACAGGCTTCGTATATTATACAGATGCGGGTCTATGCGAACACTGCAAAGGAGACGCAACAAAAGTACACATCTTTTGGGAATGCAGGCACAACTCCGCCAGGAGTAACGAAGTCCTCGGGCATATCCTCGCGGACCACAAGGGAATTCTAGACGCCGTCCTTCGCTTTGGGAAGGAGGCTCATCTCACTCATTTTACCTATATCCGATCACATACCACGGGAAGGTACCACTGGTTTAAGCACAGTATTCGCCGCACTCTTTTCTTTATTCTTTCAATAAAGACATTGCAACAACAACAACTCAATTGAACAACAGTTCTCACCAAACGCTGATGCAGATCCCGGTTGAGTCACCCGAATTCCGCGTCAGAAGAAACAGAAGATATAATCTGTAGTGAATCGATTTAATAATCGATAATCGAATTATTATTCAATAATCGCTTTAATAATTGATAATCAATTTTAGACTTATTTATAGTTAAGCGCTCAAAGGGGAACTCTTCAACCATCTGTTCAATACTAAAACCACTAGCAGTTTTAAGAAAACGTGTGACGTGGCCTATACGCCTCGCAAGTGGGCTCATTTTCGTCTTCTGCGCATGAGAAAGGAAGTAGCGGTGACGTCAGAACGCCAAGCCGTGATTGGCTGATAGCGACCCCCTATCTAACCGTCGACTGCTCCTTTGCAACGTCGTCTGCTCGAAACGTCGTCTGCGTCTGTCTTACCTTTCCTGCGACTTTCGGAAGTGCAGGTCTTTACGAGCGAGCTCGACTTCGCCTTTTAGAGAGGGCAGACGAAATAACTCGAGCGGTACGTTGTTTTTGTCTAACAACTAGCTGACGCGCATCAAGGAGAGAAGTCAAAGGACTCACTGGCGAGGTGTCTCGAGGCGCCGAGGTTTGTATGCTGAGAACCGAGAGTGAAGGTGGTTAGTGTCCGCAAGTTCCTTTCCCTCCTTCCGTGTGCGGCGATACTCCTCACTCTTTAACGGCGTCGGCGGGTTTGCGCAGTTAACGTCGCCTGCTTTACGTCTGCTAGTCAGAACGATGGCTGCTTTACCTTTCCTGCGTCTGTCAGAGATTCACCGCTTTTCCACCGGCGAGAGCCACCGCTGCCTCGGAAAACAAGGAGATGACAAGAGGAAGAGATTGACCTCTTAATCTAAAATTGAGGTCAGCGATCAAAGTATAACACGGGAAGGTTTCACAAGGGTCGCGCGGGCATATTCCATTCAGCAAGCCAGCCGGTCGTGGGCAGACGGTCTAGGCCCAGGACCGTAGGAGCACCGCTGCGCCGAGTCGGAGTGCCTGCTAGGCCTACCTGCCGAGCTCGTTTGGTCGGGATCAGTGGATTCGTAGTCGTTGGAGCATTTCCCGGGTGTTTGTGGATCCAGCGTTCTTGTTCGTCATGGTTTATTTCAAGTACTTTTTTACTTTTTTTCTCGCTGCTTGCAGTCAGGACGCGTGAGTAGAGCACGTACAAAAATAAACGTCCGTTGGTCGTCGCGACCAAGTAACTGAGCGACGCTGTCGGCCGTGCTAATTTGATCTTAAGAAGTGCGTAAGACAGCTTCGGAGCTGTCGTGGGATTTCGTCGTAACCTGCGGAAAACTTTCGATAATTTTGTTTCGTGAGTACGAATTTGTTCTTACGTCTTGTTTTACGCACATTTCTGGCGTAAGATCGTTTCGTGAATCTGGCCTCTGCACTTTCAAAAGTCGCAAAAAAGGTGAGACAGACGCAGACGACGTTGCGAGCGGACGACGTTGCAGAGGAGCAGTCGAAGTTGCAAAGGAGCAGACGACGCTCAGATAGGGGGTCGCGATCAGCCAATCAGGGCTCGGCGTTCTGACGTCACCGCTACCCCCTGCGCAAGAAGCAGACGAACTTGCCCTCCGCATTGTGTTCAAGCTTTTTGCTCCGTGATTCGTCCTTCCACATTTTTATACCGCCAGTGCAAAAGCCTCTTTGGCTACCGAGTGAAAACAGCATACCCAGGAATCACGGCTCTATTTGTTACGCAAGCTGTACGGTAACGCCTCGGAACATTATTTTAAGATCGCTCTCATAAGATCGAGAATGATTGCCGAAGAAATTCTTTCAATTTTCTACTGCATTCGCTGCATGCGTTTTTTTAGGTCGACTTTGTGGCAAATTAAGAAAAATACGGAGTTTCACTCACGTCCTGCGCACAGCGTGGTCAATACACGGCCCAGACAAACCTCAGCACTGAACACCACAACTTGAAAGACTGCGCCTTTCCAACTCCTTTGCTTAATCGGAGAGAACACTTGAAACCGCTCCCCTGATAAGACCAAACCGGAACTATGCGGGCTTATCACCGGACCTACTGACTTCGCCGAAAAAAGGCGAGAAGGCGACGCCATACTCTGTTTCACGAAATGTGAGACCGCAGTGAAACCTGCAATCCGATGAAGTCTAGAGTTCCTGCATACGCGCGTTGCGCGTTCATCCACCTTGGAACCTCAAGCTGTGAGGGAACGCCTTTCTTTACGCGTGTGGAGCCGTGGTCCGATGAATGCGGCTGGTGATTTCCGCCCGATCTTTCAGGTCTCATTTTGGCGACCACATGTCTTTTGATTATAAACTTGCAGAACATATTTCGTTCAGGTATTTATAATATGCGCCAGGCAAGACGGCGCGCAACGAAATTTTTAAGTACACATTTTATCCATCAATTCACTTTTATGATCAACCATGGCTGTGCATTGTTTTGGGCTCTACCAAAGCTAATTAATTATCGCGAAGATTTTTATTGCAGCATGTACATTATTTCCGCCGGCAGGCGTCAAATGGTGGGGTTGGGGCCCCCGAGGTCCCAGTGTACATTGAATGCTGGATAATTGTCGGCTTTGCGTCTACAACGGACTGTGAATCGGATAGACGTAAGCGTGTTACTGGGAATCTACTTGAGGAGGATTTATTACTTAGAATCAGGGCTTGGCACTTTATCGATTAACGTACGTGTTATACCAATAATGCTTTTATCGCCGTTTTTTTTAACCGGCTGATCGGTTAAATCTTGACAAACTAAACAGAAACAAAACAAACATTAAACGCTTCATCCTTCATCACACTCATTTATCCTTCAGGCATGACACTGAAGACAACAGGCGCAAGCATCTCAAAGCGTTTAATAATATTTAAAGTTGCCGTTATAACTTTGTCTTAGAGGTGCAACAAACGTCATTCTTTGCCGCAGAGGGGTAGCTCTGTGTTGTGACAAAAGTAGACACCACTTTGTATGTCCAAGCATGTAAACATAACTCACGTCGAATGTTTCATTTAAATGACTGCTTCACAGTCTGTGTAAAGAATGTTGTACTTTTTTGCGATATGCAAAATCGTGCTCACAAATCCTCAAAAGCTAGGTTCGGAAACATGAGGCTCAAAAGAAAGAAAAAAAGCGTACACGCAACTGGACACAAATAAGGCCAGTACCAAACCTAGGTGCTGGCAGCATAAATGGGAGATGACCGATTTGCCTTCGCACGAACAGTCACCGCTGCGAGGCTCCAGGCTTCCTGAACTGCAGCGCGATTCATTCATCACGAATAAAGGGGTGTCCAAACAGTACACTACAAAACGCACGACCCTTTAAAATCCTGAAAATTTAAGCGGACGCTCCCCCTTCAGTTTTCACGATTTGTCGGAGTCGTGCGTTTTGTAGTGTCCTGTTTGAACACCCCTCAACGCGCAGAAACTCATGTTTCTGTCCGCCTTTACGAACGATTGGGTAACGCTGTGCTTTCCGAGTCCCTAGCCAAGTATTTTTCTGGACAGGATGCTTTAGCTGTAGGGGTGATTTGTGCTAACTCATATGTGTGAAACTGAAACAAAAATTGATGTGTGAAAGATATTTATTTATTAATGTATGTAGATGTTAAAACATTCCTCTTCTCTATTCTCTATTTTTTTGCCAAAGTACTAATAATACGAAAGAAAGTGAGGAGAAAACACGCGCTCTATGAACTGAAAGGAGCGCGGTAATTTACCATGCCAAGCGTAAAACGATACCACGAACCGGCCAAAAAAAAAAACAAAAAAAAACAAGGTGAAGCATAAAACGAGAAAACACAAACCGAACTTCGACGCCAAAGAGGCAACTGACTCCCTGCGGTCGCGGCAAGCAAGCGAGCTTTGCTTTGCTTTCTTTGCGCATTTAAAAACGTGATCTTCGCACAGTCTCACGTGATTGTTTACAGTCGAGCAAACAAAAAAATATCTTCGAAACCATTCCTCCCTCAGGCTCGCTTAGAATTTTAAAGGGATAGCTTTATGGGCGACACTTAGCAAAGATTTCGTCCTCATTGGTTGTCGTCCCCGCGCTTGCCGCACGCGCGAAGAATGGACAAACCCCATTTCCCTTTCCTCTATGCGCGAGGAGAGGGTAGTCGGGACTTCCCGTTGTTCGTGCCGCGCGAAGAGAGCAAAGAGGACAGCCCTGATGTCCCGCCAAAAAAAAAAAGCGACGAAGAGAGAATCTCCGTGTCGTCTGCTTGAAAGACTTGTTTCCCAACATTAGTCGCGTTACGCGAAATCTCTCGTTGGCAGTATCCAGTTGCTAAGCACAATGTTGGATGGTATTAGAAACTTCGACCGCTCTTACTCACTTACTTAGCGGATCACCGAGCACTCGTGGCGGTCTTCAATGGAGTCCACGTCGGCAACCACGAGGGCTACGAGAATTAACCATATTGCCACGCGCGTCGACGAACAAGCGCGTGCGTGGCCGACTGGTTACAGCGCTTGAATGTCGCGCGGAAGGTGTAGGTTCGATTCCAGTCAGCGGACTGTCCTTTTATTTATTCTCTCAACTTGACCATCTCGTAAGGTCAAGTTCATCAAGTTCCGAGTGTTCTACGCACCGAAAGTTCTACGCCGAATGATCCAGAAATCTACGAGAGTACATAAGGGGGACTCCGCAAGGCGAGTGGAGTCAGTCTCGCCCCAGCGTTCGACTCTGCTGTTACGCCGACTTCGACGCCCGCGACGCTCTCCTGTTCTTCCGTTTCCTTTTTATTTTTGGGCACAAGTTCGCCCCATTAGACGTTTCATTTCCCCCCTGATATTCTTTGTTTCCTTGGCTGTTCCTTCGTGGCAATGTCACACCTCCGTCCTCAGGTACGTGACGCCACCATTCCACCCGGATTGAGCGACCGTGCTGCAGCTATCGCTTTCGTTTCTGCGCTAATTGTTGGCGAAAAGTACGACTCTTGTTTTTACAAAAAAATTCGACGAAAAGAATTTTGGAACTGTGAGGGGGCTGAAAAACAGGCGCTGTTTGGAAATAAATATAAAATTACTTTTAGAAAAGAAAAAAAAAAGTCAAGTCGCATTTTTTGCCAAGAATGTGCGGAGACGCGAGAACGATAACTGTAGCACGGTCGCGCAAAGCGGGTGCAATGGTGCCTTGACGTACCAAAGGACGAAGGTTCGACGTGGTAAATTTTCATAGCCACCGGGTTTAACGTCGTGGATGTCACTGGCAACCGCCACGAGTGCTCGGGGATTCGAGAAGTGGGTAAGCGCGGTGGAAGTTTCTAAAAGCAAATACTTTACCATGGGAATACAAGACATTCTCCTCTTGATCGGCGAAACATCGGCGAAACAAAGACCTATCATGAACGGATTCGTCAACACAGGGCTAATGTGCGCAACTTCGATAAAGAGCGCACCGCGGTTGCTGAACACTGTAAACAAATGACTACCGCATTGACTTAGAAAGGGTAAAAACACAGGCGAGCTGGTGAGGTCTTCCATCGTAACCGGAGAAACGGGGGAAAGAAAACGGACAAAACAAATCAATTATGGGATACTTGTTGTTGTTTTGTCCTTTTTCTTTATTTTCCGTGGTCTCCGGTTACGATGGAACCATTGACTTTCTTAACACGCCCATCCTGGACATCGAAACTAACCCCCGCCGGAGGCTCTTCATTAAATCTTGGCGCATTCAGACAGATCCAGCAAACATTAATAGGTCTCTTAGCATACGGCCATCTGTGTATGTGAACGGGTTCCACCAGGTGTCATCACAAAACGGCCGAAGAGGAAGCAGAAAGGACTCTGCCGCATTTGCCGCCGCTGTGATGTTCCTGACATACGCACTCTTAAATAAAGAAGAAGTGTTGGGGGAGCTCGAGAGATCGAGGCAGGATCTCGGGGCACAACGCTTATGGAATGGCTATGGTTGTGGTCTCAATCACTGACGTCCTAACATAACAAACTGGCGACGAGGTACTCCGTCTAGGATTGACTTCAAGGAAGCCGCTCAGCGCTACGATAAGGGCCATGTCAACGCTTGGAAGCATCGAACCCTTCGATGAAGCGGAAGGGGACTGGCCAACGTATGCCGAAAGAATCGGCCAATTCTTCATCGCCAACGAGGTGAAGGAACCGAGACGAGTGGCGGCATTCCTGAGCATCATCGGCGGAAGGACCTACGCGCTACTCAAGAGCCTCGTAGCGCCGGAAGCCCCATCAAGTAAGACCTATTTGGAACTTGTCGAGATACTTCGGGCGCATCTGTCACCGAAGCCAATTGTGATTGCTGAACGCTTCCGCTTTCAAAGAGGGACCAGAAGGACAGCGAAACTATCCTTGAGTATGTCGCAGCACTGAAAAAGTTAGCTCAAACCTGCGAATTTGGAACAGCGCTGAGTGAAACTTTGCGAGACCGCTTTGTATGTGGCTTATGCAATGACAGCATACAAAAAAGGCTCCTTTCGGAAGAGGATTTGACTTTCAAGAGTGCGCTTGAAATGGCGGTAGCAATGCAAGCCGCATCCTCCAGTGCGAAAGTTCTGCACGGCTCAGGGTCGTCCAGCGCGGAAGTTCTTAAGGTGGGAAGCAAACCTTTAGAAAAAGAAGGTTGTTCACATTGTGGTTACAAGAATCACGAATCGGTCAATTGCCGCTGGAAGGGCCTGGAATGCAGAAGATGCGGAAAAGTAGGGCACCTGCAAAGAGTTTGTAAAGGCTCAGCTCCAAAGTGGCAAGGACAAGCGTCTAAACCCTTCAGTAAGCGCAACGAAAAAAAAAGATGAAGGCTGTAACTGTGGAAGATTCCGACGAAGAGATAGAAATGCACGAGCTAAGAAGCGCGCGAAATGATCCGTTAGAAATGACGCTATCGGTCAGTGGAATTCCTTTGAGAATGGAAATAGACACAGGAGCAGCAGTATCTGTTTTGCCATTACAAGAGTACCAGGCTAAGTTTTCGCACCTCA